ACATCTATGCGGAATGGTCAGGATTGGATGGGAATTGTAGTCTGAAACATCACTCACAGAATGGGACTTATGAACCTTTACAATACAGTTCCTATTGGACATTGAAGAGGAAAGGGAGTGGTGGAACAGCTTTTACCACGACTGCAGTGGAAACCTCCTCCTTTTTGCAGTGCAAGGATCATCCAAGGTGTAAAGTGACCAGAGCCAGCGAGTTCTTAAAGAAGTCGAGGAAAGAACAGAGGACGCATCCTATCTGGCGGCTCCTATAGGAGTAGAGCTACAACCTTTTAGAAAATTAGCTTAATGCTGACCATACACTGATCGAAATTCAGAGGCTGGCTTCTAAAAGTGTTACTAAACCCAGGACCCTGCATTCATTATATATCTGATCTCTCACAGTACAAACTACATAGAAACGTAATTATTGCAGTAAATATAAACTGCTAAATTCTTTTTCTCATCAGCAGTATAGAGCAGTCTTGTGACTTCTATCAATGTCCAGCTAAGCACCGGTCTGTCTGGACAGTGCTAACTGGCCCTGTGTTGATCAAATGCACTCTCCCAAAGAAAAAAAAAAACTCTCTCGCAATAAACACTAAACTGAGCATGTGCAGAGTGACTTCTAGAGTTCTGGACTATCAGCAGATAGATTGGGGAGAGTAGAAGAAGGGTAGGATCAGAGAAGACAGGACCAAATAGACTTTTTACCCGGCTGCGAAGGATTAACCCCTTAGGTTCCACAGTGAGTATAACAAGGATGCTTTACTGCATATACAGACTGATTTTACTGTTGTGGGTTTAGTAACACTTTAAGCCAATTTTCATTAGTAATATGACTGATATGATTCCAGCGATATAAGGCCCCTTTCACATGGGCGGACCAGTCAGTGGATCCGCTTGCTCAACGGGGAATCTCTCCGCTGATCCCTGCTAAGAAAGTGGATGACAAGTCTGTGTCTGTTCCGCTGCTGCAGAGCAGACACAGACACAGCCCACTGTTTTTCTTTGGGACGGTTGGATAGAAAAAGACCACCTGTCTGTTCCACCCGACTGTCATCCAATCCGCCAGACGGATGGGGAACGGATTCCCATTTTTTGTTTTTAGTGTACAGGATTGAATATGATGCCAGTGTGTCAGCGGACACATGTCTGCTGACACCAGCCGGTCCATGGAGGGCTATGGATGGTCCGATCGGGTCCGCCTGAACAACTGACAGGCAGACACAATTGAAACATCAGTGTAAAAGGGGCCTTATTGATTAGAATTTGATGCATGTACTCAGTTCTGGATGGAGCACTGCTTCACTGTTTATGCCTGAAATGTGGTTTTGTGGGAAAAGTCATGGTGCTACAAGGATGTACATATGGTGCTATGAAGATGAATGGCATTAGATAAATTTATACATGAGCCCACAATATATCACTCTGCCCAAGGGCTTGTTCATCTTCAAATAGCCTTAGAGCCAATTGCTGACACCATCTATCTGATTTTAGAATCGTTATTTCCTGGCTGCAGCAAAATCTTGCCAAAATCCTGCTGCAAGATGTCAATGGGAAATATATAAGCTTTTGAACTTTTGGTGCCAAGAAGGTAAGTACAGAATCAAGATTGTTGTAGTGTTAAGCAGCAGGTTAAAAAACAATGGACATTTTTTTACTTTTGGGAAGAGTTACAATTTCTTTCAGGTTAATATTTCTGTATATGACCCCTTTGGGAAGATGGTATGCTCCCTTTTTTGTCTTGTGACACCAGGACATAGGGGAGCGATTGCCATAAGGAGACCGCAATCAACAATAAAAACATTGTCAGCGGTTCTAACCATTTACTAAGAATGTGTTTTTTCAGCTGTACTTGGCTTCGCTATTCAGGGTTAAGTAATGGTTAAAGTTTGGGTGAGGCATGAGGTTGAGCTGGGATCAACCTGTTAGGGATAGGTGCACGAAGGTGCACAATTATTTTTTACTCTTGTTTTTTGGTGTAGAAATCCCCTGCTGAACAATTCTCCCCTAGGTTCCCAGTAAAAAAAAAGACAATATACCAGTCTAACATTTGGCTCTTAAAATTACTGATCTGTCCTATACACACCTGATAGAAGAGGATTACATGATGGCTTCACCCCAACATGCCTCAAGTGTTTACTTACCAGCACTCTGTGTCTGTATTTCCATCCCCTCCCTGCTAGCCAGTCTGTCCTTCCGATACTTTCTTGCTCTCATGGAGGTGTAAAAACGAGAGTGTCTGCGGATAGGGATGTATCGAGTCTGCCCACTCTCTTCCATACTATCTTCGTCAGCCTCATTCTCCTCTATGGTCTGCTGTCTCATTTCCAAAGACCTGTGGCGAGGTGCATGTGTCAACTCCCATGATGCTCTCTTTTTCTCTAGTAAAGCGTTCTCATATCTTCACGCCACCTCACACATGCAGGAATCTTGTGACCTGACTTCATCTCATTTTATCACTGAGAGTAAGGAAAAAAAAAATGTAAGAATTTGAACTAACAAGCAAAAATGCAATTTTAACTAGCAAATTTTAAATGTATGTTGGCTAAAATATAATATGGTGGCCACTGCACATTTTTCTTGCCATAAAGATAGCTTTATAAATATGTATTTTTCATATGTATTTTTGGTCTAAAGTCCAACTCCATGGAGATGGCGGGGGGAAGGAAAAAATATTTACCTTACTCCTAGATTCAGGTATAATTGTAGTATTCCCAATGCACACATTCTTGGAAATGACTGTTAGGTGTCAGTGGGTGCTGCAGCGACCACTGGCTGGAAACCGTAGACATTCAAAGTAGAAAATATAACTGATAACAGAGCCTGCATGGTTTCCAAAATGTTGCCTTTGTATCATGATGTGACCACTGAGTAAAGCTTTGGACCCGTTTGGAGAACCCTTGGTGTGCTGGTGACATATATACTACTTACTCCTCACTCCAGCATGGCCACTGATCCACTACAGCTACTCTGTAGGCTGTGATCAGCTCCGGGTTGCACTCCAGCCTCCTAAATGTACAATACAGGTTAATGTCCCTTTATTGCACATGACAACACCAAGGCTTAGCCAATAGATGAAGCAGGAGAGTGCCGGAGCTTGATGGAGCAGGGAAAAGGGAAAGATTCAAACCCCAGACTTCTTTGATGTCCCATTAGTGAGATTTCACTTCCAGTCCTAGAGAGACATGACAGAAAGTGAATGGTAATCTCCCCAATTTGAGAAGAAATCACCACTTAGACATTGGAACAGGTGTTCTCTTGGAAAGATTTTCTCTCACCTCTGTCTGACATGAGTAGCATTTAGAATTCTAGTTAGGGCTCATGTACACTGCAGCTGATAAACTCATGTTTAGGAGCTTTTCTGCGTTTTTTTCAGCAGCCCCTGAATGCATCCTAATGCTTTCCTATGTGTCCATGTACACTATGTCGTTTACAGTCATTTACAGGTGGCTGATTTTACAGTCGTTTTTTTGAACGCACCAAACTTTTGTTCAGGAGTAGATTTTATCAGTGTTTCAAACGCCACATGCTTGTAAACGCAGCTAACCGCGTTTATAAGCGATTGCGTTTAGAAGCGTTTTTTAACTGTTCCATGTCCAGATGCTGTCCAGAGCCTTTTTTCATCATCAGAAATGCATGCAAACCGTTTTCCATGTATTCAAATGGACCTAGCACACACCACCGCAGTCAGTTCCAGGTTTTGCGTGAAGGAAAAAAAATGGTAGAATGTGCTGAATTATGCTCATGATGGGATCCATAGTGAATACATCCAGAAAAGACAGCTAATCTCAACACATACTGCTCTCTCTGCTTCTGCTCTCTCTATTTCTCTCAAAATATCTGAAATAGTTAATTTTTTACTGTTTTTCAGTGCATTCTGAGCATTTTGGAAGGTCTCCTGATTTTTTCTTTAAAAAACGCTTCTAAACGCAAACACGCATAAATGAGCATAAACGCGGTATGCAAACGTGGCTTAACAGACGTTTTTTTAACCTACGTTTTCCAGCAGTCAGTTTCCATCGTTCAGAAGTGTTTTCCAAACGTCCCGTCTTACTGTCCCAGTGGTAGTAGTCACCAGGACAAACAGGGGTTGCAAGATAAACATGGTCAACAAAGTTTGCTTAAAGATCCACTGTAATTATATAAAATTATATAAAATATGTGGCATGGGACATTTCATGATGGGAAACATTACTGGAAGTAATGTCAGTAAACCTGATCATTAGCAGGTGTCCTGTGGATCCCCGATAGACAGGCTGGTCAGATGCATCACAGAGCATACACATGCATGATGCACGAAGAAGCATTAAAGGGGCCTAGGGCGTTTACACATGGGAGCCTTCATCACCTGCACTAATCTAGTGCATTGAAAGATAGGGAAACAGATAGAAATACACTGAAAAACTCAACTTCCAACAGAAAATGCAAAGAACAATATGCAAATTCAGCAACTTATCACAGCCAATCAGAAACTATCTTCTTGGTCCATTTTCTCATCCAGTAGTGCATGCATCCATATATCAATACTACATGGGTAATGTACACATCCATAAGTCAACATTACATGTGTAATGTATACATTCATATGTCAACACTACATGAGTAATGTGTTATGAATACACTTTCCACATTCCAACACAAAATCAAGTTGAAGCTCCCAATTGCTATCATGTGAACTGCATGTCATTTTATCCTTCTATGTTCGTTTTCTTCTTTAGGTTTTTTCCTTTCTTTTGTCTGCAGATTTGGCCAGTAAATGTATATTATATAGGGCGCGCTTGTTGGAGCCCAACCTCTGTAGCTGTTTGGCCAGTAAGTCTGTTATTTTTAAACTCCCCTTAGCAGACCAAGCTGTTCAGCAAAAATAAAAGTTAGGGGGTTGAGACAAACCATTAAACACTGACGGGGTGCTTACAATGGTCAGATTTTATTTGTTTAGTTAAAATGTTTTTTCCAAAAAAGAAAAAATAAATTTTTTTCTGTAACTGCATAAAAAGTGTTAACCTCCCTGGCGGTATTCCTGAGTGTAGCTCGGGGTAAAGTTTCAGTACCACAAGTGGTAACCCTGAGCTACACTTGGGCTTACCATGCGGCGCTGCTCGGGGATCTGTTCTTCTCTTACCTTGTCCTGCGCTCCCACGATGTCCCTCCTGCAGTGTCCCCGGCAATGTAATCCGGCGGATGCCGGCATCTTTCATCTGGGTTCCGTCCCCTGCGAGCGTTGGGAACGGCAGGAAATTTGAAAATGACAAAAAGTGACATTCACTAAAATCACATAGTAAAACATTACTGAATCAAAGCATTTCACATACATTTTGTCCCGAGTGCTTTGTCCTGTGCCCTGCCTGCATTTTTACTGTTCTTTCTGCCTGGAAACTGAGAAATGTCCATGATGTCCAAAAATCGTCCCTTTAGGTCAAAAGCGGTTTTAGACCAGCTAGAGATCAGCGATAGTAAATCAGAACTACTTGCAGAATTGAGTGATAATGATTCGTGGGGAAATTCGTCATCAGGCACTGAAAACGATTTTGCGACTTTGCTTAGTGATGTGCGAACTTGGCACTATATTTCAAATTTCAGTGTTTTGGGTTTGATTATATTATTGAATTACATGTATTATTATTATATTATTATTTTTTATGATTATTTATTAAATTATAATTTATGATTTCGTGTTTCAAGTTTTATCTTACCCGGGATGTTTACTAGACTCTTGTTCAGACAGATTTCAGTGAGTTATTCCTAAAAATGACAGGCCTACAATAAAAAAAATACATATTTCCATGCAAAAAAATGTACCGCTTTGAGCACAGAAATATGGACATAATCAGACCACTAGGGAGGTTAACTAGAGTGTGCCTTTAGTTTCTTAGTCGCTTTTGTAAAGGCCATCTAAATCTACTAGTGCATCTAACACTACCCTCTCTGTAGCCCGAAAGGCCACTGTCCAAGAGTAACTACACTGCTCCTCCATAGATACAGTAAAGAAGTACGTGTAGCCTCCCTAAGACTAGTGTTACTAGCAAGTTTACCAGGTGAAAACAAAGCAAAACAAGCCAAAGAAAAAGAAAACAAATGCAGTTACTGTCTCTTGGTAAGCTGTAAATGATTAACATACACTTTAAGTACAAATACGGGATGTACAAGCAAGCAGATATACTGACAGGAAGAATGAATGAACTACCACGGCACTTCACAGCGCTGTGGTAGTTCATTGAGGACTACAAGCTGACAGCTGCTAAGACTGTGGGGACTTGTAGTCTCTCATTCACAGATGACTGTGAATGTGTGACGCGGCCATGTGGGCAGAACCCCTCACGGCTATGTTTTTTTAAAAATGTGACAGCTAGCGAAGGGAGAGAAGATCCCCCGCTAGCTGTCAAAGCAGGGATCGGGTGGGAGCAGGGGCCGGTCTGATCATAACATGTTACATGTTAGACCCTGAATATGGGTGTAACATGTAACACGTTACGAAAGGTGAACTTATCCTTTAAGGCCTCATGCACACAGGGCATTTTTGCAGCCACTTTTGGTGGCGTCAGGCGTTTTTTTTTTTAACTGATTCCAAACTTCCGTCCATGTTATCCTATGTGTCCATACACACATAGGCTTTTAAAAGTTTTTAGTAGCAGCAGCATTTACCAGCAGGCAAAAAAACCTAGGGCCATTGAGTCCAGGAACAGCAGCGTTTTGGCAGAAAAAACGCTTGATGCGTATAAACATGTCTAAACGCATGTTAATGCTAGGTGCATTTAGCTCTTGAGCGTTAATTCATTTCAATGGCCAGAATAAATTATTATTCTGGCCAATTAAATGAATTAACGCCCAAGAGCTTGAGGTCTTTAATTGCACCTAAACGCTTGCAAAAGCGTTGGACACTTTGACAAGCATCAGGTGTTTTCTTCTGCCAAAATGCTGCTGCCAAAAGGAGGAGCGTTCTCCTGTGTGCATGAGGCCTTAAAATCAATGAAAGAGAGCTATGATGTAAGGGGCAAAGATTGCTTTGTTATTGATTAATTAATCCTATTCCTATTGTAAATGAACACTGGTATACTTTAGTATTCATACTAGTTTTATACTGCTATTTATGGGACTGCACACATTTATTATAACCAGTACATGTTTGGTCTAATGAAGTTGTTATTGCAAACAAGACAGACTGTATGAAATAAATCTTTCGTAAACGCAATCTTGTCTTGATCTATTAAATATTTGGAAAGATCTTCATTAAATTCAGCACAGCAAGTATATCCAATAAAACCCATCAGTCACCACTAGGAACATGTCAGATCGGCACTTTTGTACTATATTAAATTATTTTGTTACAACAACTTAAAAGGAAATCTCCAACTATAATTTAAATTTAATTGTTGAAAGGCTGCTATAGCTACCTATATCTGTATACTGGCCAACAAAGGTATTTAAAGCTGTTGTAAAGCCTGAAGGTTTTTTGAACCTTAATGCATTCTCTGCATTAAGGTAAAAAACTTTCTATTGTCAGGTTCCCCCAGCCCCCCCCAGCCCCCCCCCCCCCCCCCCCCCCAAATGCTTACCTGAACCCAATGTTGATCCAGTGCTGTGCCCAAGGGCAGCGGAATTCATTGGCTACTGCTGCTGTCAATCAAATCTAGGGATGAGGGAGTGGGTGTGGGGCTGAGCTACACTGTGTGTGTCTATAGACAGACACAGCATGACTCAGGATTAAGCCTGCACATGTGCCACCATACGAAGCTACTTCTATGTTATTGCTATTTAAAAAGAAAATGCTGCTGTCAATCAAATCTAGGGATGAGGGAGTGGGGGTGGGGCTGAGCTACACTGTGTGTGTCTATAGACAGACACAGCATGACTCAGGATTAAGCCTGCACATGTGCCACCATACGAAGCTACTTCTATGTTATTGCTATTTAAAAAGAAAATGTTAACTTTACAGTCACTTTAAACTTCTTCCATTATGGTGGCCAGTGCTGTATCCTCTTGCCAGCTACCTGGTATGTGAGATTACTGATGTTCTACCTTACTCGTTTCTGACTCTGCTTGTGTCTCCTGCGACCTGATGTCATCTTGCACCAAAGTAGTCCAGGGGCCAGTAGGGTCACTAACCCATCACTCCTTTCATGATACTCTGGAGAAAACTAAGCTGTTACTTAGACTCACTCTGCACTTCGGATGAGCCAGCATCACTTGCCAGAGGTGTCAATCCAAACAAAAATTTTGCCTGTTAGAACAGCTCAGACAACAGTTATTAGGCTACCTCTAGGTGACTTCCCCTGATACATGCAACAGTTTTCCCCCTTTCCCCTCTGTGATGAAATCTCTTTAAACAAAATTGTTGGGTGCAGTAAATTAGAATAGTACTTGTATTGTGGCAGAGTACAAAGATAGGCTCCATGATCCTGTTACTCAGTAGGACATAGAACTCATGTTAATCTCTTCACGCCTAAAGGTAAAACAAATCCTAATACCTAAGCACAATTTTGCAACTTTGACATGTGTTAGTTACATACATAGTTAAAAGAAAAAGTTATCTTGCACCCACAGTTGATCCAGAGGAAGGCAAAAAAACATCACAGCAAAGCATGATCTAATTTGCTCATGCAGGGAAAAAATTCCTTCCTGATCCCCGAGTGGCAATCGGATATTCCCTGGATCAACTTTACCTATAAATGTTAGTATCCGGTTATATTCTGTGTATCTAAGAAATAATCCAGGCCTTTTTTAAAGCAATCCACTGAGCTGGCCAGAACCAACTCTTGAGGGAGATTTTTTCACATTTTCACAGCTCTTACTGTGATTAAATCTCTTTTCCTCCAGCCCCCTTGTCCTCTGTGATGACCTCAGGGTGAATAACTCTACACCGTGTTCACTTTATGAACCATTTATGTATTTATACATGTTGATCATATCCCCCTTAATCTCCTCTTCTCAAGAGAGAATAAATTCAGTTCCTCTAATCTTTCCTCAAAGCTCATCTCCTCCATGCCTCGTATCAGTTTGGTTGCCCTTCTCTGTACTTTCTCCAGTTCCCCAATGTTCTTTTTCTGAATTGGTACCCAAAACTGAACTACATATTCCAGATGAGGTATTCCTAATGATTTGTACAGGGGTAATGTGATATCTCTCTCTCTGGAGTCTATACCTCTTAATACAAGAGAGGATTTTGCTCGCTTTAGAAGCCGCAGCTTGGCATTGCATGCCATTATTAAGCTTGTGATCTACCAGAACTCCCCGATCCTTCTCCACCATTGATTCCCCCACTTGTACCCCCCTAGTATGTATGATGCATGCATATTCTTAGCCCCCAAATGCATAACCTTACATTTATCAAAATTAAACCTCATTTGCCACATAGTTGCCCAATTAAACAGGGCATTGAGGTCGGCCTGTAATTTGAAGATATCCTGTAAGGACATTATTCCACTGCACAGCTTGGTGTCATCTGCAAAGTCTGAAATGGTATTTTTAATCCCAGACCCTATATTGTTTATAAATATATTTAAAAAGTAAGGGTCCCAACACTGAACCTTGGGGTACACCACTGACAACCCTAGACCATTCAGAGTATGAATCATTAATCTGAATACGATCTTTTAGCCAGTTTTCTATCCATTTACATACGGATTTTTCCAAGCCTGTAGACTTTACCTTACACATTAGCCGTGTGTGGAGAACTGTGTCAAACGATTTAGCAAAATCTAAGTATACCACGTCCACCACCACCCCTCTGTCCAAGTATACCACGTCCACTGCCACCCCTCTGTCCAAGGTTTTGCTCACCTCCTCATAAAATGAAATCAGATTTGCTTGACAACTTCTGTCTTTCATGAATCCATGCTGTCTGTTGCTTAAAATATTTTTTTCCAGCAATAACTCATCTATGTGGTCTTTTATTAAACTCTCCAGTATCTTCCCAACTATAGAGGTTAAACTAACAAGTCTATAATTACTTGGTAAAGATTTTGACCCCTTTTTTAAATATTGGCACCACATTGGCCTTACGCCAATCCAGTGGTACTATGCCAGTCATTAAAGAGTCCCCAAAAATTAGAAACAATGGCTTTGAAATGACAGAGCTCAATTCTTTAAGTGTCAGTTAAACTATACATATCATCATAACTACTTTGTACATCCAGGTGAATTATACCTTTTTTTTGTCAGGAAAAATTTGTAAGTCATTTGATGGTAAATGGTTATGGATATCTCCTGAGTTGTTTTTTTTATTAGCAAAGGAAAACTAGCCCAAAATAGTAAAAAAAAAATGTTTTTTTATATTTAGCTGTATATTTATTGTTACTACCATAACCTACCACCAAA